CCCAAAAACAGAAACAAAGACACACACACACACATCGGGTGCCCAGGGTACAGCCAGGGCCAAGCCCCGGGTCCCGCGAACCAGCGCACCATCGAGGAAAGCCTTGGCCCAGCTTTTCGGCGAGGCGAGAATTCCAGCGGCGAGAGGTGCCAACTCCCTGCGCATACGGAAAGGGAACCGCGGGCAATGTCTTCTTCTCTTGTCTAGGTCCTATAGTTAAGAGGTTAGAATAAGGGCACCCTTTTTTTCTGTAGTCTATCTTAGTAGGGGAACCCTCCTCCAAGAAAGGGTAAAGGGGCACTACTGGGGGACCTGGTCAAACAGAAAAGGGAACCACGGAATGTCTTCTACTCTTGTGGAGTCATGTGCCCGCACGCAAGCGTCACAGCCTCTTTCCTGGTCCACTTGTCCAGCGTTGGATTGAACTCACGTCATCGAGGCCGCAATTTGGAACAAGTATTCTAGGATTTCCCCGAGACTCTAAGCACTACGCAAGTGCGAAATAGATGCTATGGATGTGCCTGGCGTGGGTTGTGTCCATCGGAAAAGGTTTGCAGCCTGCCTTCCTGCGGTAGGAGGAATCCAGCAACCACCAACTCGCTTTTAGGATATTGAATTGTTTACTGATCCTATGGAAACGAAATGGTGGAGTTTTTGCACGCCTAAACCTGAAGGAGAAAGCACCTCGCCTTCTATCATTGGCTTGTCCAACAGCTTCGGGCAGTCGTTCATATATATAGATATATATAGATATATATATATATATATGTGTGTGTGTGTATGTATGTAAAATTATATATCATATATATATATATGTATATGTATATATCATCTATAATATATATATATATATATATGGATTCAGCATTTTCCTTTTTGGACGATGCCACAAGTTCTTAAAAACGCCCGCCACGGGCACTTCGCCAGAATCGATCTGTCCACTGTGAAGCTCGTTGGCCCGCAGGGCGTGTGTAGAGCGTCTACCCCCAAGCCAGCCCCCAGAAGTGTAATGTTCACCCCAGATTAATCAACCCCAGTTCACTATTAGGGGGGTGTCTCCGAGTGTAGTGGGGAATCAGACCACTTTTGGAGGAGAACCCCCCCCTATTAATTAACTGGGGACGATTCATAGGGGGTCAAGATTTTCAGCTCCATCCGGATCCATTGTCAAGTCAAGCCCGTTTTCCTGGAGGGTGGGTGTCCCGGGGGCGAGTGGCCGCTCTACTGCTTAAAATCATAAATTGGCACTCTAGGCAAACGAAGAGCCATGCGTGCAAGGCTTCAAGCTGCCAGAAGGTGGTGGCAACGCAGAAAAAAAACTTGGGCCTTTGCCTTTGCCTTGCTGGATGTGATGTGACGTCAGCTTTGTGGCTATTGCTCCCCCCCCCGGCCCATGAAAAAACTATTAGCGAGAATCCCTAACGCTTGCATTAAGGGACCCAGTGAAAGCAAAGACTCAAGTTCTGCTGTGGCTCCAGCTCGAATGCTCGAATTTTGATCACTATCAGGCCTCTCCGCGAGTGATCACCGGCCTTTGCGGGAGCACCCAACAAAAACAATAATTGCACCTCTTAAGATACGAACCACTGGAAGCATGAAAACAGTGGTCACAGTTACCGCAAATGACAAACACCGGGACTCAGCAAATGCTCAAGCTACTCATCCTTGATTGTGGGGCGCTTCTGTGATTGACACGATTTTTTGTGCAATGCATGACACTTCTGAGTTCAATGAAACTAAATCAATGACACTGCTGAAATGAATCAAGCAAACGGCATGAATTAAATTGGCTCAAGGAATTCAGTTGAGCTGACATGAATGACGAAACAAGGTCATGAATGAGTGAATGCGTGAGTGTATGATGGAAGGGACAAATGAATGAAGGACTGACCGAATCACTGAGGTATGAATGGAGGAAGGAAGGAAGGAAGGAAGGAAGGAAGGAAGAAAGGAAGGAAGGAGGTCAGGAGGTCAGGAGGTCAGGAGGTCAGGAGGTCAGGAGGTCAGGAGGTCAGGAGGTCAGGAGGGAAGGAGGGAAGGAGGGAAGGAGGGAAGGAAGCGTGGATGACAGTGTCGCCTGTGCGCAATTTCCAATCGCTTCACTCGATTTATTTCCATTCGGGTCATCTCATTTGATTCCGGGTCATGTCGTTCCATATGCTTAAATTCGACCGTCCATTCGTTCTTGCATTGGTTCATACATGCATCCAATCGAAATATCAAACACTCCTTCCTGATAACACTTCATTGATTGATTCATTGATTCATCGGCTCATCTATTCATCGAGTCATGGATTCATCTATTCATTCATTCATTTCATGTCATGTCATGTCATGTCATGTCATGTCATGTCATGTCATGTCATGTCTTGTCATTCATTTCATTTCATTTCATGTCATGTCATTTCATGCCATTCCATTCCATTCCATTCATTCCATCATTCATTCATTCATTCATTCATCATTCATTCATTCATTCATTCATTCATTCATTCATTCATTCATTCATTCATTCATTCATTCATTCATTCATTCATTCATTCATTCATTCATTCATTCATTCATTCATTCATTCATTCATTCATTCATTCATTCATTCATTCATTCATTCATTCATTCATTCATTCATTCATTCATTCATTCATTCATTCATTCATTCATTCATTCATTCATTCATTCATTCATTCATGTTCCACAAATTTATGCATCCACGTCATTTCAGGCCGTGTTACGTCAATGGGCCCCCCTTTTGGGTTCCATGTGACATTCTTGGGCTTTGTCCTCACATGGGCTGGCAAGACTGTCCCCGAAATCCACACAGGCTCTGGCCAAACGACATGATGGTTAATTCCAAGAGCCCGAAAACAAGCGTCCCCTCTTGATGATCTGGACTGGTGGTGTGGCTAGGGCCAGCGGCCAGGGTTTCCCATATTACCCTCTACAAAAGCCATGAGTTCAAATCCAAACCCAAACCACCAATCCAAACCACCAACCTCATGGGCTACCTGAGGAAATCAACGACCAAAGCTGGGCCCCCCGGTTCCAGGACGCTGCCTCTTGCGACGGAGTTCCCTGAATACGCCGGCAAACAGCGGAAGCCACAGTGCCGGATTAAAGCCAGCGAATGGATCGTGCCTGGAAAGTGTGGCACGTTACCTCGGACTTGGTGTCCAATGCGAAATTCTGGGGCTGAACAACCAAAACACGATTCATCCTCATCATCGCGTTCAGGATGTAGGTTTTTCGGGACGTGTGCCCAGACCCATGGTGGCCACGAGGAAAAAAAACCGGGGGCACTCATTTGTGGGTTGCTTTCAACAGGGAACCCCCTCCAACAGAAACCGGCGCACCACTGGCTGGTATGGTACCCAGAATTCGCAAAGGTGAAGCGGCCTTTGACCAGAGAGCTCCCAGCTCGACCGCTGGAACAGGGTTCCTCGTATGACTCAATGACCTTGCTCACGGTGGCGGGAAAAACACAACAACAAAAACGTTCTCACCTCTTCGTGGACACGTCACCGAAGAACAGGGGCTTTGAAAGTCACACGAGAGGATCCCCGCGGAAATGTCCGGCAAGGAAATTTAGGAAAGCTGCTCATAGGTGTCCTATAGGTGTTCTTTTGACAAAATAGATGGCCCTTGATTATGAAACAACCAAATCAACCAGGGCCATCTATCTCTCGCTTCCTGAGTGGACGGGCCAAAAGACGTAACACACTGACTGCTTGTTTACCACTAAAATGGCCCAAGCCACAGCGACTGAAGTCCAACTCAGGGCGGGAGATCTCTTTCCCAAAGCCAAGGACTCCTGACTGCTTCTCAGCCATGCATTTTCAAGACGGAGCGTCAGGCTTGGGTTCTCCGTTTGGTTGCCCCTGGTTTCCGTTTGGTTGCTCGCTTCGCAGTGCAAGTGGTCGATCGCCTTTGGTAGCTTTGCAAAAGAGGTTGGATTTCCAAAACAGAAGGGCACCCACCCACCTATGAGCCGCCTCTCTTTCAAGGTCTCCCTGCGATTCTTAGATGACCAGCCACAAATAAACATTCTGGCCCAACCCTGACAACTCCGAGGTGCAAGTTGCGGCAAACTGCGAACTGCGGCTTCTGATGGAACCGGCGAACATGAGACACCCCAAAACCGTCCCTTGGCTCAGCCTTGGGACCCCGAACTCGGTCCAAGGCCGGTTCGAGTCTGTGTCTCCTTAAACCAAAACTGGCTCAAAGACTCAAAGTCCACCCTACTCGGCGCGCGGAAATGCGCAGGCCCCGGAATCTGTAATCGCGAAACCTTTGCCCACCTCCACGCGTTCGCGGGCAGCTCAGGCAAAAGGCGCATCGGCCAATTCGAGTCGGGGTGGGTCACCTTTCTTTGGTCTCCCGCTGGCACCACAGGTTTTGGGAGCTGGTTGAACCAGGAGGTGGCCCAACCCACGTGCAGTGCAAGTGCTAGGCACGCCATGCTAGCGCACGGGTATGGTCAAACTCTGGCAGCTTGTGCCAGCCTGCGAGGCAGCTTGTGCCAGCCTGCGCGGCAGCTGCCAGCCATCTGCGAATTCAGATCGGCCTGGAGACGCCCTGAGACCTTGAATTAGAATGCTGCAAGCTTGCCAACTCCCCCGGAGCAAAAACATGGAAGCACGAAACCTTTTTTTGCGCAGCCCGAGTTTCGGTTCAAGCGGAGTTTTCGTAGAGTCTCTTTGAACAACCATCCAAACGAGAGGACCTGGTGACTTGTGCAAGCGGCAAGTCGCCGGAACACTGCTCCATTGAGCAGTCAACGGCCCCCAAGAGGAGTGAGATCAGTCTCCAACTCCCTGGGAACTTACGCTTTGAAGTGTTAGCCTACCCCCTGCATGACACATGGAACCCCAGCATATTCTAGAGTGAACTTACGTGGCACAGTTCCCTTCATCTCTACTTTCGCATCGTCAAAATGATGCGCTCAAGCGGTTCCATGCTGAGCGGGGGAGAAGAAAGAAATTGAGGGTTCGGAGCATTTCGGTCTAAAGCTTCAGCTGCGCCGGCCTGAAGGTTAGAATCAATTGCAAGTTCTCCCTGCCTTGAGCCAGCTGCATACTTCCTCAGCTGTCCCCAGAGCAATGGGCCCACATCTGAATCCTCGTATGATTTTTGTCTCATCCCTCACCTCTAAGAATATATACGACCCCCCTCTCCCCCCCCCCAAAGAAAAAAACACAAAAACAAAAAAACAAAAGATTCTATGGGTCCCACACAATATTTACTTATATTGTAGCTAGGGATGGCCCACGCATCGGGACATCTTCCAATGTGGCCAAGTGACACCCGAAAGAAATGGATTTTATGTTCAAGAGGAGAATGGAGCGTGAAGCGGCCTGTGTTAAATCCACGTTGCTATGCAAGCAACATAAGATGTCGAACGGCAGGAGCACATGTTTTATGAGGAAGGCGGGTTTTAATGAATCCGGCAAGCTTGGTTTCAGCCTGGGATTTGGGCGGTTCCCTCCAGGGCCAAAGGGACGCAAGGGCCAAAGGGAGTCAAACATCAGAGCTGCAGTTCGTTCGGCGGCCTGCGAAACTTGAGTGGCTTGAAGCGCTTTGGGGGGGCGGGGGCCAAAATTGGCCGAGGCGCCGGTGATTTCCATGGCGCTGGAGCAAAATATGGGCATCCGATCGAAGCTCACGACCATGTGGGGCAAGAAGGGGCGCTGGCGACACTCCGAGGAAAGACGCTCAAAGAGCTCCATGGAATATTCAGACAGGAAGACCTCGATTGCATCCACGCTGTGGATGGAACCTTTTAATTTGTCGGGAGAACCCACCCCCACCCCTCAATAAGGCGCCTCAAGCAAAAGTTAGGACCCTTCTATCGCCTTCTAGGAAAGCTCAGGCTGAAGGGCAACCAAACGGAACCACCAATTTTCACGGCCCCCCTATTTTCACACACATCCCTATTGCTTAAGTCCGCTTGTGTTCAGCAGGGGGACATAACATGCTCATTCAAAGTGATTGATCCACACCGGCGGTCAGCAGCTCGCGCACTTGCCTGAAGGGGGGGGGGGGGACGGTCTGCTCAAGTTGCACTAGCGGTATGGAGGGGGGGAAACACACCATCGTTTCAGGAAAACCACAGGCCAAAACAGAGAACACCAAACTTATGTATGGGACTTGTCCTTTGCTCATTGCGTTGCAAGAGATGCCCACCCTTTCTAAGCAGGAGGATGCATGTGTATGTGAAAATAAATATGTATATAATCTGTATATATATATATATATAGATATCTATATATATATATACACTTTTTCGCACCCAACGAAAAGTCAGGTTGGATGCGCAAAACTCAGGTTGGCACTTCTGAGGCGTGTAGCCCAAGCAGGGCCGTCATGGGCGCCGAGGCGGCCGAAATCCGCATCGCCACAAGGTCCAAAACCAGCAAGATGTTCTTCTCCTTGCGCCTAACGTTCACAAAGCTATTTATGGTTGGGATCGTCCCTTACTAACCTTGATCTACCCGAATCGGCTTTGAGCACGTGGCTCACCTAAGGACCTGGAAGCAAAAAACATCGCCAGAAACCGTTCACCGAGCATCACAACACGTTCCAATTTATCCAGAGGCTATTTCCCACGCCCCGTTTGCCTGCCAACAAATTAACATGGAACCCGACAGGGACCCGGTCCCTTTAAAAAAGGACAATTGTCTAAACCAGCCCCCCTGTCAAGTTCCATTTTGATTGGTGGGAGGGTCATTCTTTAGCCCTTTATGAGGCTCGCATAGCAAAACTTGCGGTGGTTTGATAGTTCAATTTGTACCCACACCCACCTCGTGCAGGGGTTAATATGCATATTAAACCAAATCACTAGTAGTTAACCACCTACCCTCGGTTGCGAAATCTGCTCCCCTGCTAAAAGTGACTAACTTTTAGCAGTTTAATACGGAAAACCCATTAGCTGGCAAGAAGTTAAAGTCTTAACATCCCTTGGCAAAATGCCCCAAAGAAAACTACTCTCACAAACGCCCCTCCCTGAATGAAGAACGAATGAGGCGATACACACAGGATTGTCCTGAGCGAGCAGCGACTCCATGAAATACATCCCCAATTCTAAAGATGACTTAGCTCATAACCTGCAACCCCCCACCCAAAAAACAAAAAAACAGAGAAACATGGCCTCTGCCTAAATATGCTCCAAAGGCTTGCCAATCCAAATTCACCTGGACATCTTGTGGATTCAATTTCTGGCAAAGGGCTGGACCACACGCTCGAAGACTCCGTCCGCCACCTCCTTCTCAGGGCAGTCGCGGCCGCCTCAGGGCCAGAGCATCCGGCCTGAACCTCAAAGTTTGCCTCCGCCCCCTCTAAACCTCCGGAATTGAACCTTACACTTTGCACCACCCAGGAACCTCCGGAACCTTGCTCGAAGCTGACTCCAGAACTCCCAAGCCACCCCCAAACCTTATCTGGGCTGAGACCCCTTAGCTTTCAGCTGTTGGGGAACCAGGAAGAAATCTATGTCGGCTGTTGGTTGGAACTCGGCGGAGCGCTTCACCTGAAATATGGCAATACAGAAAGGGACCCAGAGATCGTTTTACTCCGAGCTCGCGACAATTCTTCAGCCCGATGAGGTTTCAAAGACACCAAAGATGCATGGAGAACTCTCTCTCGCCTGTCGCAGGCTGCTTCCCCAGTCGTGGCTTGACTCGCTCTATCACCCTCCCTTGAATCACGTCTGGCTGCTGGACTTTGGGGATGGGCTGGAAAGCTCAGAAGGGGCCTGGCTTTCCAGACTGCCATGGCAAACCCAGCTTTTCATGTGCTGTTCTCGTCCCTTGGAAAAATACCAAAACCAAAAAAACATGTCCAAGTATTTGCAGGGGGATCGAATCAGACCCCAAGGTTTTCTGAAAGGTGGTGCGAAATGGTTTGCGCAACCATCCAGGTAGGGTCCCGCCCCCCGAAGTCCATTCTTTGCGGGTGATTCGGATTGGGTCGGCCTGCCCAGTTTTGTGACCGGGGCTCCTCCAGCTCTATGTGATACAGAGTTTAACAGCAACAACCCCTGACCCCAAGACACTCCCCCAATCGCGACGCCCACATCCGTAGTCCAAAAAGCAATCTTTTCTGAACTACTTTCACATTTAGCTAGTCTACCCCATGTATACATGTTGAATCACTTATGCAAAGTAACAAGATTGCAAGAGACCCGAGCAATATCAATGGCCAGATGCCGCCATTCATGCCTGCGATTCACATCGACCGAGGGGCATGGGGTATCCTCCAGCATCGCATAGCACTGCTCCGTGGAAGCCCGGCTCGCCCGGCTCTGGGCGCCTTCTGAGGGGGCGCCTTCTGAGGCTTCCCGTTTCCTCAGCAGCAAAGGCACTTCCGCTTCTCGAGGCTCGAGATAGGCGGAAGCGAGCGAGTGAAATAGGCGGAAGCGGCGGAAGCCGCCGAAAAGGGTTTCAGTTGATACGGAATGGACTTGTCCAGTTCTGTGGGCCTTCTCGGTCAGGTAGGCTGCAACCCACTGAGAAGCATAGACCCTGGCCACTTGCTAACATGGCCGAACCAGAATTCACATCAACCCAAAACGAACTCATGTGTAGACAGTAGAGGCGTATCCTTTTGGGGACCCCCCTTTGAAAGTCCACGCTGCTTTGCAGGGCAGTATTTCTGTCCTTCTTTTTAGAGCCCGATCATTTTCTTGTGGGGGTTCATGCCATTTTCCGAAGGGAAGCATTTCTGAAGCGACTGGAGAAGGCACGGCTAAATGGTGGGAGAACACACCAATGAAAAAAACAAGAAAGACAATGACAAGCGGCCCCCGCTTCTCAGCAGGGCTGAAACACTGGATGTATCCAAAACCACCTGCTGTTGCAAGAGGATCCTCTGAATCAGAAGAATTTAGGTTGTGCTTAACTGACCCAAATCTATCCTTTGTAAAACGGGAATCCTGTTTCGGGTTGACCATTTTGAGTGACAAACCCCCTGAACCGTTGAGCTTGCAATGAGGGTGAGACTTCAACTTTGATGAAACCTACTGGGATAAGAAAGTCGCCAAACCACCATGGTACAACAAAGGCAAAGGCAAACCATGGAACAAGTCTAAGGACTACAAAGGAAGAAAGTCCGACGAGGACCACGCAGTGTGTTGCTGGTTTTCATTCATGGTTTTCAGTCGCTTTTGAATCCCGGGCTGAGGAGTTTCCCGGCATCTCAGGCCATTGCTGGAAGAGTCGCAGCTTCGACATGAAAACCTCCTGGGGGAGGATTGAAGAGAGAAGGGGGTGATTGGAGAAACTCTTCGGCACACATGCTGCCATGTTCTTCCCCGCTTTGCCTCGTGTGCTTCCGTAGTTGTGTGGGTTTGTGCCGTCGTCAGTTGCGGCACCGAGACACACACACACACATACATACATTTAATTATGTTTATGTTCGCATGCCATGTTGGCCAGGAAATTTGGAATACTAAGCCGAATGCCTGGGTGTTAGCATGATGCCCATGTGCGACCCGTCGAGAGAGGATTCGAGCATTCTAGTCTGCCGTGGCTTGCCGTGGCTATACTAGCTGTTTGCCGGAGGCGGTCATCTAAGATCCCATCTTCTAGATGTCAGCCTTTAGGGCAAGACCAAGCCATTAAACTTATGGCTGCTTGTCATCACACCCTTGCCATCAGAGATCATCGGCCCTTTTCCTGACCGCACCATTGCAGATTTACCGCCCGGTTCAGCTGTTGGGATGTCGCTCTCAGTTCCGGGGATACAGGAGAGTGGGGGCCATGGCAAATCGGGGTTGAAGCCCGAGCTCTTTGACAATTTGTGTTCTCGACGCATTTCGCCCCGAAATCAAAAGGGTTTGGTCTGCACTGGTTGTTTGGTCGGATTGGCCGGCCCTCCATTAGCACAGGCCCAGCTCAAGTTGGAGAACGTCGAACGCGCCAGTTGTACGCGAAAGCGGTTCTTTCTCTTTTCGGGCGACAGAGCCTGGGTAACTCTCCCGGCCAGAACCTCCTCCCGAAGCAATGGTGAGGCGCATAAGGCGCAATCCCTCCAAAACGGCGACCTGCATTCAATTTTTGAGCGGCTTAAAGTGGGGCGACCTGCGTTTCAACTGTTTCCATGCCTCACCTCAAACCATACCGCTTCTATTCGACCTCGGCATGTCGCTTCAAGCGTGGCACCCTACTGCAAAATAATAGCCGCACACAAAGGCACCCAAAAGTCACAAAATACTGTACCTGAAAAAGCGTGCTCTGCCAGTGCTGTCCCCGTTGAGGTTGGCCATGTCAAACACGGCCAATTAAATTGCCTTGCTGCATGTAACCGAAATGGATCAAAATCCCCAGCGTTGCCAAAGACTCAGTGACCCCCGAGCGGAAGATCATGCACTTGAGCAATCAATGAACAAGCCCCACAGGGTGTCTGACGTTCATCGATATACAGTACTCCCGCAATACCCCACCTCCCTTGGGCTTGTGAGGCCACCACTATAACCTATCCAAAAGGAACCCCCTTCAAAGGGAAAATCATGCAGTAACGGGTCGTCGTCTATTTTGACGGCCAAGGCACATGCTTCCGGAGTTGTTTTTGCGGATGCCCTCCAGAACTGCCTCGAAGGAAAACCTCGCAGCTGCGCAATTCACAGACCCCGGATGTGGATACATCCAAATACCAACTAATTTACAAGAAAATCCTCTAAATCAAATGGTGAAGGTGTTTTTAAGCAAGAACAAAAGCTTTGGACTAAGCAACAAAAAAATCAGGTTCCAAGTGTTCTGGAGAGTCACTCGCGACCAACGTCACTTCAACTAGGACCGCGAATTCGTGTGCCGCGCTGGCAACCGGCCCCATTTTCCCGCACAAGAGACGAACAAGGGGACCGCAGGATGGGAACCAGAAACTCATGAACCCCTGGTTGATTAATCATCCGGGTTTCATCTTAGAGGGAATCCCGATCACTGTCAGGGAAAGCATCCACCTATTCACCAGCAGGTTGATTAGAGCGGAGCCGTCGTGAGCTACCAGGCCGATCCATCTTCTTTTCAACCACTTGCCTTGAAACATTGGCATGCCCAAACGTATATGACCAGAGGGTATGTGTCAAAATGTTCAAACTAATTAGGTACATTCACAACACATAGTGGCGGTTGTTTTGGCTTTCCTTCAAGCAAGGGCGAAAAGGATACGTGTACATGTATATGCCACCAAAGGGAAACACTCATGTTGAGACAAGGGTTTGGGACTCAGCAATGCGCAATTTGCGCACCGTCAACCCAAGAGCACTCTATCCGAGAAAGCCACAACGGCAGCGGAGACTGGGTGCGACGATGCACCCAAAAACAGCCTTGATGTGCATACATATGTATGTTTATATGTATAATATGTATTTGTAGACACGTGTGTATGGGTAGCTACTACATGGTCTGATCATCAGCAGAACTCCAAAGCATGGCCATTGGCAAAGGGGTAGTTGGCACCTCTTTACCATGTGTCCTTTTAAGGCAAATAGATGGCCCTGGTAGATGATTAAACCACCAGGTAAACCAGGGCCATCTATTTTGCCACCAAAACAACCATTCTTTCTCCCAAACTGGGCTCTTCCTAGGCCCGTCGTGGAATCCCAAGCCCCTCTGGCACCTTCCGCTACGGACAGCCCCCGCCGATGTGCAATTTTGTTTGGCCCCTTTTTGATTGTTTTCCCCCACAGTTCAACCTCGCCCAAGTTCCTCCCCCATTTGGCCTTGGCAAGGGCTGGATTGCAGAATGTCGATTTTTCTGGGTCCATTTAAGTGACATGTTTAACATTATGCTCCCTTCCCGAAGTAATTCGCGGACCCCATTAATGGCAACCATTTTCAGGGACCTAGTTTGTCCGAACTCAGCCAGGGACAGTAATCCTTTCTGTGATGCCACGCAGGATTTTCATCCCCATGACTCGCCCCAGAGAGCGCAGCTAAAATCCACTTTCCATGGTTTCATTCGCTATAGGGCCCCGGAACAGCTCGGTTCCTATTCATAGAAACCCATGGGGTCCGTATTGGGCCTTTCTTTCTTTAACAAAAAAGGAAGAAGCAAATCAGCTTTGGAGGACCCCCCCTTGAACAGGTGGGATATTTAAGCTCGAAGTTCTCCCATGATCTCCCCGTGGCTGTCCCGAAATCCCAAAAGGAGACGTCCCTCTCTGCGCGAACTAGTGTACATTATGGGCCGCGCAGGTTCTACGGTTGGGCCCAACCGAAAACCATAGGACATATAGGACTCAAGTGATGTGAGGACCATATCAAGGGAGGGTATTTCTTGTTTGGCGGTTAAAAAAAAACGAAAGCCACAATTTTGGGGGTCCCAGAAAAGAGACACACCCATTTCAAGCCGGATTCGAGTGCTGAAAGTTCGGCCCAGGCACTTATCTTTCCGTGCGTCCGGAAGGATGGCGTCCACAGCCTTGCTCCCTGATAGGGACTGCGAGTCCGTGAAATCCCTGAGGCCGACCAGGTGCCGCTTTTCGCCTCAGACGACCAAACGAAAAACCCGGAAGTCCAGGAGAAACACCCGCAAAGTCCCGAAAACAAAGCAAGTAAGCTAAATGGCCAGCCCTGGCCTGGCAATGGAAAGGTGACATACCATGCGTTTGGTGGGCAAGCATGGTTGCTAACCACGTTGCCAGTACTCCAAGAGCTAACCACGTTGCCAGTACTCCAGGAAACTGTGAATTTAGACAAAGTCGAACAAAAAAAACAACATGCATCTTGCGAAAAGAAAATCGCAAGGACACTAAGTATTGGGGCCCGCCAAAAATGGCCCGTATGCCCAGTGGCCGTCGGGTGTCTCGAACTTCACCTGGAACACCTCTGTTCGAAGCTTGAGCTTGCCTCAGGAGAGCGGGAAGGCCCCTCACAGAATGATGTTGACCCCAGACTTTCATCAACCCCTGCTTATTAATAGGGGGTGGGCCCCCTCCAAAAGTGGTCTGATTCCGCACTAAACCCCGGGAGAAGCACCCCCCTAGTAACAAACTGCGGCTGATTGATATGGGGTCAACATTATTCGAATATGCAGGGTTCACCTGGAGTTGTGTCAAATTTAGGTTTTTGTCTAACACCCGCCGCCTCAATCGCATTGGCACCACCCTTTGCCAAATCGCGATCCCGCACTGGCGGTTCCCCAAAAGAATGGCGAAAAAGAACAAAGGGCAAAAGGGGCCAAACAGGGGATACAAAGGCTCAGGGGGCCACATTCCTCGGTTGCGTTCTGCTCCCCTGCTAACAGCTTAACTTTTGGTGGTTTAGTGGAAAACCCATTGGTTGGCAAACAGTTAAAGTCCTAACATCCATGAAGCAAGATGCACCAAAGTTTCAACAAGGCCCACTTTGCCACATGGCCCACCCTACACCGACTGCATCCAGCCGCAACTGTCCACCAGGTGGGTGTGAAAGACGTTGGCAGCGGTGCGGAAGCGACCCACGCCGTTGGCGGCGGCCGTGAGGTTCTCTTCCGCGCGCAAAGATTCGCCCCTCGAAACTAGGTCTGTGAAACGGACCCCTCTCCTCGGCTCAAAGGCTCTTGCTCAAAAAGGCAAATGCCTCATGCTCACTTCAGCTTCCCCCTGATGGTGGTTTGGTAGTTTGAAGGTTTGGCGGGTGGCTTCCCATCTGCCCTCTACAAGAACCCGGGGTTCAAATCCGAATCCAAACCACCAATCAAGGGTTGCCTGATCACTTGCTCAAAAGGAATGAAACATTGCAGGTTGACTTTTTGGCATGACTAAAACATGAGGGCAAAGAAGGTCCACAGGTTGGCTTTGGGCAAGCGAGCGTTGGTCAACCCCCAGCTCAAACATGAGAAAGAACCGCTTATTGGGCAAGCACGGTGCGATTCTTCAACCCGAATTGGTTTGCCTCACAATTGGAAGGAACAAGTTGGATGGTTTTGGAAGAGGCGATGGAAGAACACACGGAAAGCAACCACCTGGGACGGAAACCGCAGCGTTTGTCCTGCTTAAGAGTGGTTGTGATTGGCGCCTCGCAATTTGTTTTGTGAACGTATAGTAAAAGGGTGCTGTCATTTGACTTCCCCCAAATTTCAAAGTAGGAGCACCCGTATCAAATGTTTGTTGGCAACAAGCTCAATTCCGGAGGTTGGCCAAGAGTCTTTAGACCTTGAACAAAAGCATGTCCTAGCCGGAAAAAAAGGTGACAAGTTCAGCTCGGGGCGTGAATCCGACGCTCCGGGTTGTGGAAAAAAGAGAGCTCCGAGCCGCATGCAGGCCTTGTCCCTCAGCAGCACCGCCGCGAGCTTCGGGCAGTGCTCCTTCAGCCTGAAAAACGCGCGAGGCGTCCATCGGTGGAAACATCGGCGCAAGGACCGGCTCAATCACAGGGGGTCTCAGCGGCGCCCAGGCCCAAACCACCTAAGGAACAATGGAATGCTACGACTCCCCTGCAACACGGTTTCAAAGTGGTACATGATTTCGTCCATCGACAGTAGGTCTGACCTTGCCCTCGGCCTACCATTCTCAACATGCTGCCTTGGCCTTTGTACTTCTCCGCTTCGTTCGAGGTTTACTCCCCCAGTCCAAATCTCAATGCAACCTCCGAGTTTTTGGGGTTCATTGGACTCCAAGAAGAAGAGGCCCAAGAGCCCCGAGCCCCGGTCCCTGCCATTTCTACGGGCCCAAGTCCTAAGGCTCCTAAAGAGTATATAGCCCCTTTTTCTGGTCTACATTTGGTCGAAACGAAAAACCAGACAAGCTTGGCCCAACCCGACCGCACGTCAACAACATATTTTCGGATGCTTCACATTTAGTCCTTGAAATATGGCGGAGACGCAAAGGTGACGTCACACCACCTCCCTCCCCACCCTCTGTGGCCCGTACCGGGAGCTACTCTGACAAGGACAAGCCGAACATGTCACCGTTCACTCTGCGTCTGTGGCTCTAATTGCTGACAACTAGGAAGGATGCCCGGTGATGAATGCAAAGGACATATGTATATATATATATATGCGTATAGGATATGCCGGGTGCCGGCCCTTGTATATGTGGCTTTGTGTGCTGCGGTGGGCGTTGGCGCATGATGGCGCATGGCGCCTTTTCTGTGAATTGCGCTAAGTCTGCGACACGAAGGGTGAGCCCAAGAGATTGCGAGAAGGCCAAGGGATGCAAAGACACAGGACCCCCCCCCCCCGCCAGTGGCGTCGTTGTATCATGCTGGGACCTATAGCTCAGTTCCTCAAAGGACCCAGAGATGAAAGGTTCACCTTTTCGTGCTACTAAAAATGGTTGCCAAATCACGCAAAACCAAAAGCTTAAAAGGTCAATGTGTCTTGGTTAGGGTTGGAGCTCCATTTGGTGTGGGTTTTGAGGGAGGATCAACTTCCATTTGGTTACGACCCCTGGAAAAAACTGACATAGTTCCAGTAGTGATAGATTCCCTTTAACACCAACAGGGGAATATAGAACATATTCCTTTCAGCAAGTGGAAGTCAAAGGACCACAATGTGGCTTCCTCGTGGTTTCCGCGTTCACAACCCGCGAGGGCGCCCCCCCCGGCCCCTTCACCCGCGGCCCCGCCTCAGCTCGGAGTCCAGCTCCGCCACCGCGTCGCAGGTGAGGTGCAGCAGCGCCGTGGCGGCGTCCAGCTGCGAGGTCACGTGGTCCTGCGACGTCACGTCCGGCGTTTTGGTCTCAAGGGGAAGGGAGACCGGTGGCTCTATGGTGGACAAGAACCAGTTGATATTTCAGGAGACCATAGAAGAATAGAAGACCATAGGAGACCATAGGATACCATAGAAGACTATAGGAGACCATAGGAGACCAAACCATTTGGCGCGTTTAAACAAAACCATGGTGGCACTATGGTGGACAGGAACCCGTTGATATGTCAGGAGAGTCAGTACATGCTTGGGTTGACACCTCTATTTTTGTTTTTCAGCGAACAAACCTTTTTTAGTGGGGCTGGAGCCCGAGCATCGAATGTTAGCGGGATCCGCACAGATGACCCCACCCCAGCTGTATTTTGCGCGTTGAAACAAAGCCAGGCGGCTGCGGAGGACAAAGGGAGGGGTCCAATTCTTTAACCAAGCAGCGAACATGCCAGGTTGAACAGCCCACTCATGTGGCCCAAAGAGGCTGCTTTCTTTTTAAGCGAGTGTAAACACGCTCGGGGAAACCTTTTAACGGAACCTCGGTTTAGACAAATAGACCTGGTTGCGCTGCCACGAAACAGTGTTCAGAGGATGCTTAACAAATAGACCCTGGTTACTTGCAAATGCTGCTTTTCAAGTAGACCCTGCGCCCTTCAAACCAGCAATAGAAAAACGGAAGCACAAGGAACAAACCAACTATAAGAACAACAAAATACAGGTTGCTAAAACCAAAATAGTTGTTAGCATAGTGGCTGAATGTGTGGCTGACACGAAAACCAAACCAGGCTGTGCACACAAACATTGGTTTAAACCGTGGTTTCAACAATCCCATGCTGATTCAGAGCCAATTCGCAAGGGGAGACATAGGAGGGCCATCGCTGTGGTCCTTTATGGCCTGAAACGCGTCGCTTAATGATCACTCGTCACGTCTTTTCGGCTGCAATGACTTTTGCTTTTGCGCGTTGTCTGCGAATCATTAGGAGCTGAAAAGGGCGGGAACCCCTTTCTTGCTGCCCAGAGGCTCTCGAAGTGTATTTAGGGCCCTCAAACAGGGTTTTGAGTCTAAAGGGGTCGGGTCTTCCCTTGAAAGCCCCAGGAGCTGGGTGGGTGAAGTCATGACCTCCGTGTTTTGTTCCATCACATGCTTCAAGGCTTTCTGTTCACCCGCCTCCCGGAGCCGCGCCTCCACCTGCACGCGAGTCGCGAGTGGGGCCAAAGGTACATACACAGGAAGTGCAAACCTGAAACATGCACTCCGTCGCCCAAAGGACCCAGGCATAAAAGGTTAACCTTTGGGGTCCTTTACTAAAGATAGACCAAAATTGAAAAACCAAAAGGTTAAAAGGTCGATTCGAAAGGAAAACCAAAGGCGATTGGGACGGCTTCCACATCACTTTCTACATTCCCAGCCGTATACTTACGCGCAAATGTAGTTCAGACAAGGTGAAAAATGCGATGGATAAAGCGTGTCTTGAACTGGGGATGCAGAAAGAGATGCAAACTGAGTCTCTGAACTGTAGCAAGTACACCTCGGCTATCCCTTGTGAATGACTGGATTGGACGTAAGTTCCCCGTGGCAATTTCCAACATCTAGCAGATTCGTTGAAAAGTCCTGCTTGGGCTTCAGACGGCTCTGAAAGACCAACGGAATACCATTCAGAGAGAGGCCTAGTCCTTGCCACGAATTGACTATGCGTTCCCATGTTCAAAGCCCCACTTTCCAAGCATCCCTTGAACACCCTGGCTGGGAACTCAAGAAGTGCCGCCTATTGCAATCATTGCAAGACAAATGTCAGGACTGGCTTTTGGCCGGGGTCCCGTTCAGGCAAAAGCGGCAAAGCTCCTTCTCAGCAAACTGAAGGCTGAAACTCAATCTCACTTCCCGAGCGGATGGCCCAGAAAAGACCTTGCACATGGTGTTGACCACCAAAATGGTTTTCCCGAAAAGTGAACTGAAGTCCAGGAACTCAGCAGGTGAGTGCAACTCGATTGGCCAGAAGTTGAAACAAGCTGAAACCGCCTGGAATCCAAAACGGACATGTGGATGGGCTGCAGCTCTCAAAGCCTGCCACAGGCAGAGGGATTTTCGTCCGAATTCCGAATTCGGTGCCATGGACAGGAGCCTATGACAGCAGGGTTGCATAGACTGAATAGCCCCGAAGTCCATTAAAGTGACATCAAAATGAGCCTCAAAATGGTTTAGGGGAGCCACCCCCTCTCAGAACTATTACTCCCTCGCCTCCCCCCCCCCGGGAAGAATGCTGGCGCCTTCTGGCGGAACATCTTGTGCACGTAGCTACACAGCGTGACGGTGCACAGCATCATCATCAGCTCCGCGCTCAACAAAGACCCCGGGCTCCGGATCATGGAGCCCCCTTCCTCCTCGTGAATGGAGTCAGTCCCTTGCTTTTCCCCATATACGCGGCTCCTGGACAAATGCAACACATATATGTCCATCAAGGGCAAAATACATCATGCACATTGATCTCAGTAACTTGGGACGAACACATTGATGAGCTGCTAAGCACCCAGTGTGGAAGTCTTGTGCGCAGCCGGGGTTTCCTCACGCCGGGGTGGGGGTCCTCAGTTCCGTTGTTCTAGTCTCCGAGAAGGGGGGAATGGAATTATAGCTCAAATCCAGTCAATCCCCCCTTCCCCAAATTCAAATCTTAGCGCTGACCCCCGTCACTTCAACTTAAGGAGCTTCCCAACGTTAAGCTTCGCTCGGAGCAGCCAATGTTGAAAACCCCCACATTTCGGTCGGCCCTGGCAAGTAGTTTGGGGCTTAATGGTTCCAAGGACAGCTATTCCATTTGCTTCAAGGTGCCACCAAAAACTAACATCTCTGCCAGTCATGACCATCTTGTTTCTGAATAAAACCAAGTGATGAAACTAAAGCCAACAGCAAGGGGCAGATTCTGGAAACGCTTGGATCCAGACGGTGACAACAGCCGAGCAACTGAAAGCGTAGAGCCTACAACTGCTCTGCCATGGCTAGCTACAAAAGGGCTCCCTTTCGCGGTGGACAACCTCACCTCGGGCGTGGCAACCAGCAAAGCCCAACGACCAGAAACGGGAAACATGGGCTTGACCAAACCACCTCCTGCTGCCTGAAAACATGAAGGCACGACCCCGCACGAACCAACAAAACAAAATGCAACCGTAGCTACCTACAGACATGGTCGCAGCACACCTACTGGGGCTATCATCCAAAGAACTGTTCCCACATGTTGAAACAGGTACAGTAGAAAGGGCTGTGAAGGGAGGAAGCCACAATGTGGTTCCCCCCTGCCCTGACCAACCTGACATGGCGCCCCCATAACAGGAATCTCTTACACACGTGTTCACCAGGAACCAAGCAAAAAAAGAAAAAAAGAAGGAGAAAACAAAAGAAACCAAAAAAAACATTGAACATACACTGACCGCACTCAACAGTCATTCAACCTTGAAGGTTGCCACCTGTCCAACAACCAACAAAATTACAGTGTTTCAGGATCTGCACCCCAAGTTGCTCTTGGGGATTTGTTTTTTTGCTTGCGCACCCTTTGGTGGACATGGGGGTCAGCGCTTTTTGTATTGACACTAATGCCAAGTTGCCTCTTAGTCATGTCTCTTAGTCATGTAGCCAGTCCAAGTCGCCCCTGGGTCAGTTGAATTTAGCCCAGCGGAAGATCCCGGACTATGGGAGCTGACTTCACAAGGCTTGTGAACATCTTTTGCTTTTTCGCCTGGCAAAACCATGGCGAACATATGTTCCAGTGAAATCCATTCCCTTCACCGGAAAGGTTCCAGTAAAATCGATTCCCTTTAACCCCAAAAAGGTTCCAGTAAAATCGATTCCCTTTACAACCCAAAAAGGGAAATAACACGATTCAGCAAATCATGTGAGATTTCCTCAGCGCAAAGTGACCTTAAGCCAAGGTATCCGATCAAATCAAAATCCAGGTCCTCAGGGGTGGCGGTGAGGCTTCGCAGGAAGATCACGGCCACGATGCTCAGGTAGCACAGGACGGCTACAACACAGCTCTGGACGTAGAGGAAAGAGGGCAACTGGATCACCTGAGTCAGCAAAAAGAAGCTGACCAAGGACTTGACCAGAAAAAACTGAGGCAGCCTGTTGGTTTCCCTTCCAAAAGCAAAAGCAGGAGTCCGACATCTGAGCAATGATCGAAACCTGGTAAAGGGGAGTACCCAACAACTCACGAAAACAACAAAAACAACCGGTACCAATTTGTGTTGATGGGACCTTCCCTTAGCTACACCCGCCTTCCGATTGTGGATCACATTGGGGACGGGGTGGAGTGGACTAATTTGATACAACATCTGGCACTTGACCGCAGAAGATCGAACTTGTCCTACACGCATGCTCCAAATCAAGTTGCAATAACCTCTCGGGACCTGGGCTCGGTCGTCGGTTGCTTTGGGCTCCCCTGCTAAAAGTGACTAACTTTTAGTGGTTTAATGGAAAACCTATACGTTGGCAAAAAGTTAAAGTCCTAACATCCAAGCCAGATGCAGCAAAGCGGGCTTGAAGGCCAAACAAAGGCCACCAAGAGCTTAAGAGGTCGACTCGCTTACAAGCGCGCTCTTCTTTCGCTCGCCGCGAAATCTCTCTCGCTGACCAATTCAGGGCACTGTGAAGTCGTCCGTCTTCGGCTAAGTTTTTAATTGGCGGTCTGGGGCCTGGGCTGCAGGTTTCTTGGGTCTCCAGAATTTTTCGGCCAAGTTAGCAAGTAGTTGGTAACTTAGGTTAGGACGTGCTAGGATTTGGGTATAAGGTCGTTGGGGAACACCTTGTTTGTAATGGGTTGCAACCCAAGTGGCTATATAACCACTAACAATTTGGCCGAACATCCAAGTAGGTGGCCGTCCGATTTACCTGAGAAAACAACCAAAGCTTCAATCTTCCAAGCCAACCCAAACAACAAATCCCGCAAAAGAACAGCCTTTGAGGGTTGACATTTTTGAGAGGGGCAGGCACCAAACCGAACGGGACAAAGGGTGCCACTGAACGACGAGGGAAATCCAGCCTGACCTGATCCGTCCAAAGGTAGCGCGACGCCAATACCAGACTACCAGGTAGTGGCTACCACATGATAAAAGGGTTCAGGATCCGCAATGCTTACAATAATCCTACAATAATTCCAAAACCTGAAATCAGGGATCCGCGAGTAAAGATTCTTGAGAATACCGAGGATGGACAAAATCCCTTTCGCACCACCTAAAGTAAGAAACAAACCCTGAAATGACGATGCCCCTGCAAAAACGAAAATGGTTTCTCCTGGTTTCAAAGTGGGTCCTCCAGTAGAGAGGTTAGAATAAGGTACCCTTTTTTCTGTCGTCTATTTTTGTAGGGGAACCCTCCTCCAAAAAAGGGTGAAAGGGCACCTAGCTGGGGGTAGTTGTCCATCCACAGTGAGCTTGTTTGACCTTCAAGTGATCTCGCTAGAAGGCAAGGGATCCTTGCCAAAGCCAAGTCACCAGGAGCCCGAAGATCCGCACGGTCATTGCAATGTTGGGGCTGCACGCGCTGGGGCTGATCACTATCGCAAGGTAAGCATGACCTCAGCGAGAAATGCGGGGTTTCAATTGGCGCAATCAAGGAACGGGTTGCCGAATGTGACGGCAGAAGCTGGTTTTAGGCTCATTCACACGGAACAAAACAACAAATATTCGGAGCACCGTATCCCTGATTGCTTCTGTATGCGCGTGCATGCATACATGCGTGTTTGTGCATACATGCATGTCTGCATGTATGGATGCATACACGCATGTAAGTGTTTAAGTATGTAAATATGCAAGCATGCAAGGATCCAAGCATGTATGTTCATGTAAGTATGTAGTGTAGCCTCGTTTGGTGTAGTGTAACGTAGTGCAGTGTCGTGTGGTGCGATGTGGTGTAGTCGTGTGTACTGTGTCTGTGTGTAGCGTGCCTGCGCATGCATAGTATGTGCATGCATATGTGTAGGAACATGTGCATGCATCTGAACTTAAATACATAGATATGCATGCACAACATGCACAGTGCACGTGCATGCGCATGTGCATGTGTCTGCCTGTGCCAGCGCGTAAGTGTGTGTGTGTACATGTATATGTGTGTAAATGCATATGTGTGTAAATGTATATGTGTGTATGTGTGTACGTATGTATGTGTGTATGTGTGCATCTGCACGTCATGTGCACATGCGTGTCTGCATACATGCATGCATTTGACTGGCAAGCCACACAATTTGTGCATACGTGTGTGTGTGTGTGTGTGTGTGTGTGTGTGTGTGTGTGTGTGTGTGTGTGTGTGTGTGTGTGTGTGTGTGTGTGTGTGTGTGTGTGTGTGTGTGTGTGTGTGTGTGTGTGCTTGCGCATGCGCAGGTGCATATGCACGTATACAGCCGCAAGTTTTATATAATAGAGTTGTATGCGTATGTGGTGAAACTTGTAGCAAGGAGAAACAACAACAGGCAATAAACATCAACAAATCACCCAACAAGAGCAACTGAGCATCCAGGAACCTTTGCCCAAAACAGAAAGCAGTCAGCCCCGACGGCGCTGATTTGGCGAGAGGCATAAGACGTGCCAAAGGTTGAGGGTGCGGACCGACACCATGCAGGGCAGGCAAAAAGCTGCCACCAGACATCCAGCAAAGGCGATTTGCGCCCAGAGAGCGAGTGGAGTGCCCAGGAAGTTCATGTCCTCCCTGAAATCCCTGAAGGGGGTTTCGAAGCCAAAATGGAAGAGCCTGTCAACTGAGAGCAGTGCAGGGTTGGCCAGAAGGGTTTAGCTAGGCCACCAATTGAGGCTTGGCTAAAACAAGCAGCCAGTCGGGTGTTCCCGCCTCAGAAGCCTCAGCTGGAATGGGAGAAAGGCAAGACATAGGAAGGCCGCGGCGATAGGGAGGAAAGTCTTCGCAAAATCCAGTTGAAGCTTGGACACCTCCCTCTGTACATACCTCAGCTTGGCTTTTGCTAGGTCACGATGGGAAAGGGTCCATGGCAGGTTAAAAGACAGGAAACGACGAGGTCCACGCAGGGCCTCACAAGTGTCACCGCCAAATGGAACTCACCAGAACATCTTCCAGAAACCCCCGGCCATATCCCCTTTCTGCGACAGGGCAACAAGCATGAGGGAACTCTCAATGATGGTGTCTCTCCAGTTTCGCAACCGAAAAACCAAACAAAACGAAAAAACACGACAATCCCCAGAAAGGTAAGCCTGAAAAGAAGGCTCAGCGTAAGAAAGCCCAGCTGAGCCAAGCAAGTGCGGGGCACTTCTCATTGGCGCTCTGCCCGTTGCAGTTGCCCAGTGCGAAGCCGAGGTCTTGAACCTCAGCTCGCAGGGCATGGTGGGCCAAAAAATGCGTTCGCCGGAGCCTCCCGGCGGATTCTGGGCGACTCATAAAATATTGCACCAACCCCGAAAGAAGGTGTTTGGGGGGCTATTCCCCACAAAAAAAAACCATTTGGGGTGAGGTTGTGTGAGGTCGTGATTATTCACCCTGCCCGGATTGGAAAGGAAAACCCAAAGTTAAAAAAGCGCCATCCGTCCGCTGATTAGCATCTCATTTGTTTAGGTCAGATTTTTAAAGTTTGTGAGTTTTTTTTGCGTGACTGACACCTGGCCAAAAAAGGCATGGACACCTGAGAGTTCCGTCGGGCCAAAATAAACGCCGTTGTGATTTTGGACGGGAAAAGCAGTCTCAGAAGGTGTGGCAACATGAAGCGCTGAACACAACACAGAACCGAATTTTGGTCCCTTGCAAGGCGGCTTTGGTCGATTTGTGACATCCGGATCATTCCTTAGTGAAGACTATGCGAGTGATCTCATCAAGAAAGCGCTTGCGATGCTTGGGCTCGAGTTCCGCCGTTGGGACACGCGTTTCCGCCGTTGGGATGCGTGTTTCCGCCGTTGGGACGCGCGTTTCCGCCGTCGGGACGTACGTAGGCTTCGCCGGTGCAAGTCAACGCCTTTTGCGGCAAAGCAAATTGGTATTCCAACAGATCGCACCGATTTTCACCAACCCGCAAAACCTGGAAAAGTTGCATAGTCGCGTGTCCGAACTGCTCAGATCTTGCAAAGCAGCCCACGTCAGGCCAAATGCGCACCAAACGCAAAAACGCCGTCGCAAATTGACAAACGCCCCCCAGCTTCCGTTCGAGCCTTTTCGAGTCTCAGGCTGAATTTTGGAGTTTATAGGAATGAAAGGTTGGACAGGTTAACCCCTGGGACGAAGAGCCTCGACAGAATCAACTCGTTGCTTTAAGCCGAGATCCATGTTGCTGGCATGCGGGCTTAAACAAAAAAGACTTGACACGGATCTAAACCGCTCGAAGCCGCCTTGTGACGCCAAGCTGCCGACGCGCCGTGGGTTCAGAGTTATATGGCTGTGGGTCAAAAAACCCTGCTAAGTGGAAACAATGACTAAACCCTGTGGTCCGATCCTGGTGGTTTCATTTTGACCCGTACCCATATGGGAAGGTCCCCCATGCTCGACGTAGCGACACGAGCCGCGCCTTGGAGAGGATGCAGCGCCGGTTCAGCCACGCTTGCTGGCAGAACTTCAGCAGACACAAGAGCTGCAGTAGGGCCACACATACCAACGCCTCAAGGACCCGAGCTATGACCCCTCTGCAGAAAGCTTTGCCTGGGGTCAATGGAAACTCCACAAAGTTAAAGTCCAAAGATCCAGTCAGCTGTCCACAAAGCTACTGTTCAGGTGTCTCCAAAGACCCCAGTTGTAACTAAACCCTGCGGATGGACAAACAAGTTGCAGCCAGTTGGGATGGACGAAGCCCTATCAAGAGACCAACTGGTGTGAAATCGATTTTGTTCACTATCGAAGGAATGTTGGCAACCATTTTTTGGAGCGGCTCCTGGGGAACGAAAGGTTCTTAAGGGCTTCCCAGAAGAATCCAAGTCATGAATCATGTTTGAACATCTCGTTCCCTGAAATGTTCCCCCCCCCTCCCCCCAAAAACATGAAAATTCACAAACAAACGCAAACTGTTTGGTTACCACCAAACTGGCCTTTCTAAAAGGAGTAAAAATCCAATAACCCGGAAAGCGAACAACTTGGCTGCCATTTTCACGAGGGTTCCCTAGCTTGTCTTGAGTGAGCATCCCCGAGCCTCCTTGCCAAAGGATGCCACGGCATCTTCGGTTCGGTACATGGCTCGCAAATGCTCGCAACTAACCTGAAAGCGCTGAGACCCCCCAGCACAGTGGCACAGCCGACCAAACAAATCTAGATAACTGAGCGCCAAGGTTCAGTGTGTCGCGTGTGCTTCGCTCAGTTGTTTAAAGGACCCAAAAAGGTTCACCGTTTGGTGCCTCTTACTTTAAATGGACCAAGGGAAACCACAAGCTTAAAAGGTGGATGGGCGGATGGTTCGACGGGCCGACGGGAGCCAGTTTCGATTGTTCTGCACCCCACTGGGCGACCTAAGATCGAGGTAAACACGGCGGGGGCGAGACAGACATTTCTGCGGTGTGCAACAAGACTAAATCTAAATCAAGACATAACTCAAGAAACACCAATTCAGAGTTGGTAAGACTGCAGCTCCAACAAAAAACCAAGTTAGCTTGAGATTTGAAGTGCCTCAGATTTGATGGCCCGCGTCTGGTCTCGGGCAGGTCGCCCAGTTGTGTTGGTCACCCAGGTTCCTCCGATTTGGGCCACTAGAGGCACCTGTCTTAGGTTCGCATGCCCGCTGGACCCTTTCGACCGGCCCCCACAGGAAAAGCAGAACATCCAAAGCAAATCCAGCAGTGAACACCTCAACTGAAATGGCCAATCGTTTGTGTGTGCGCTTTTTTTTGGGGGGGGGGGGGGTAGCGCTTTTGCTTGTTCAGCGTAGTCAGAAGCCGCAAAAGATCGAAACACCCAAAGTGGGGAACGACATCGTTCGCATCATTGGTTTCGCTGGCGCCACGGAGCAAGCCCAGGCAGTTTCAGCACTGCAAGCCTTCCGGAAGCCTCAAGAGCTGCTCCAAACCACTCCAGAGATCCGGGACCCTAAAGCTACGGGGACAAAACTGGAAGGCCTCTTTTTGCCTGCACTGATTCGAGTGTGAGCAAATGAAATTCGGGGACCTTTGAAAAAACGTCATGTTCACTTGAGTGAGCTTCGGATTTTGCCAGACTCCTTCACCGGCCTTTGGCTTCACGTCCGGCCACCGACGAGAAGCTTGGGGCCCCACGGCCCTTGCTCCGTCACCTCTTTGGGCCTGGGCTGGGCCTCGAGTGCGGGGAATTGGATGAGGCAGGGGGTGAGACACCTCAGTTGTTCAGTGACTCTGGGGAGAAAAAAACCAAACAAAGACCATTTTTTTAGTGGGGCAGCCACCAAACAAAGGGGAAAAGAATGGGTGCCACTGAACAACTGAGACACATGTATTTGCCGGACTTGTTGTTGCCGCTCAAATACTCAAATAATAATACAACGGTCTTCCCAAAAAGACATGTGCAGGAACTCGGGAAGTGGGATAAAGGACGCCCAAGGCAAACCTCATTGTTTGGAATTGTTTTCACACACACGCAAAATGACAAAAATGAAATTTGTCGAAACAATTTCAACGCCTAAATCATTCAAACGGAATAGGTGAAAGGAGGGTTGCTTAAACAATAATAATCATCGCCAGCCTTGCCTTTTTAGCTGCTTGCCTTCTTGGTTTTCCCTTATTTCCCCTGTCAACCAGCAAACAAGTTGCTTTCCCACCGCAGTGCCCGCGATCGTTGCAGGGTCTGGGGGTCATTAGAGGGACCCTTCGGTGTCAGGAGAGGCTCTCAGAGCCTCCCTTCCCGCAGGTTTAGGATTCTTTGCCTTCCGAGCCCTTCCTACGTGGAGAAAACCAACCGAGACATGGTCAGCCCACCTTTAGCAAAGCTTGCGACCTGTGCAAAGAACAAAGGCCCAGCTTTCCGAACGCCGCCCTTCCAGAAGGCAAACCTGTCAAGGCCCGGCCTAGCCCGTGCCCCCGACTGATACTCCGGGCCATAGTGACTGAACTTCCTTTAAGTGTAGAATTACGTCAGAGATCCCAGCAAGTGCTTCTAAGGGCACAATCAGGGTGCGGACGCGGAAACCAGTCTAGCAACCTTATAGTCCATGAGGTTGAGACACACAGCTTTCCTCAAAGCTGCTTGCGGTTCATCGCAACTTCTACAGGCGATGGCAATGCTCCTTAGACCGAGTACTCCTTTCGACCAAGCTTGCCACCCCGCCCTCACAATCAATCCCTGCCAGCGTCGCATATTTGGGGCGCGCCAATTGGAGGAACAATAACCAGCATATTCACTGTGGTTCAGGGGTGGTTTCCCATGCCAGGGGTTCAAATCTCCAAGCCACCAACCCAAACCACCCATTCCTGCCGCTCGGGCTGCGGCGTGATATCGGCTCCGCCAGACATCCTCTGGCTCTCGCCATTGGGAGTCCTGAAGTTGCATGAAAACAAAATTCAACACCTCCCCGAGTTTCGCTGTCCCAGGCGAAACAACAAATAGGTCCGAAAAACATTGTGGATATGGTGGATCAATTTTCCAAAACTACCAACATACTTTACTTTGAACGAGCCCCACCCAAGACATAGCCACGCTGCCTCCCACGCAAGCGTGCTCAACATCCGACTCATGTGAAGCCATTCGGCGGCTGCTGGGCCACTCGTGCCATTGCGACGGCCTTCGCTTCCAGCTCAGGCGCTCTGAGAAGCCAAGCCGTCGCTGTCGGCCGCTCTCGTGGCTTTGGCTGTCGCGGCAGAGTCTAGGCTGCGGCTGCCATGACTGGCCGGCCACAGGCTTCGTCACGGTCCCGGGCGGTGCCTCGAGCTGTCTGTTGCGGTCACTTGTTTGGTGCGGACGCATGCCACTTTGATTCCAAAGGACTGAGCCCATGGTGCAAAGCAACAACTGTAAGGCAGGGCAGCGGAAATCCCCAAAGAGGAACCCTTTCGTCCCAGGATGATCCAGTTTCTCCCACAAACAGCCACAGAAAGGCGCACGGCCACCTTCTCCCCGTGAAAAATTCCACGGGGAACAACGAAAACCCGGAGAGCCGATGCAAGCCGCAACCTGCGGAAAACCAGAAGAAGAACCTTGGTTGACGTTGGGGACGGGGAGCATGTGTGTGTGTGTGTGTGTGTGCGCGTGCGCGTGCGCGTGCGCGTGCGCGTGCGCGTGCGCGTGCCGGTGCGGGTGCGGGTGCGTGT